AGTAATTAATCGACACAGTTTCTTTTTCGAATGCATCTGAAGGCAAAAGAAAATTGCAAAGAGATGTTTTGTTTTGAATTATTACTTTTATATAACCAAATATAACTTATTAATGGATAAATGCTAAAGATCATAGGTTATGGTAGAACATTGTAAAGGTATTAAAACTGAAGCACTTAAAAACTTTTAAAGATCATTTAGAACAGTGGTTCCGAAATTGATCCCTACGGACCCCCATGGGTCCCGGATATCACACAGGTGGTATGTGGAAAAATAAAATTGATTTAGAGGTCCCTGAACGAACTCTGAGGATCCACGCAACGAATAATATAAAATTAAAAAGATAGATCCATTTTTATTTTTATGGAAATTAAAATAAATAGCAATTATTCACTTGGATGTTTCCAACTGAGTGTTGAACCCTTTTGCGTGTGGACTAATTCAGATCCCAAACACTAATGAATCCATATGAATTCAGGAGCATCTTACTGAAATATCCACAAATGAAGGACTTAAACCAATGTTTTAACAAGGATACCACAAATTCTGATTACTTAAACAAATCCCAATTTTATATCCAGGGTTATTGTGCAGAATTTGTTGACTACTTTCCCGTCTTCTAACTTGGTAGAACGTGGATTCAGTGCCATAAAAAAATGCATCACACACACACACACAAACTGCCTAAAAACTAGTGCTGGTGGGGATTAGCATTTGCTACTCGCAAACATTGAGACGAACACACAGATAAATACACTCATATCCTCTCATCAAATTCATCCAAGCCATTGTTTTTTTTTAAAAAATTATTTTAAATATAAGTTATACTTTAATAAAATGTTTGTTTTTTTTAATTTGCAATTTTTATACTATGCTTTTATGTAGTTTTTTCACTTGGGGATTCTTGGGAAAGTTATGACATTAAAGAGAGGTCCGTGGGAAAATGTTGACTATAAAAAGAGATCCGTGAGCAAGATTTAACTGTAAAAAAGGTCCATGGAAAAATTATGACCATAAAAAGAGGTCCATGAGTTAAAAGAGTTTGAAAACCATTGATTTACAACAATAAGAAAATAGGCACGTAAATAAAGACTTACACAGATAAAGAACAATACAAGTAATGAATGGGGAAAAAACAAGTTGCCTTCAAATACGGTTATCAGAAATAAAGCTGCCGTTGGCAGTTTATGTTGCATCAATTAGATTGGAATTTTTTTTACCCTTTTACCCACTTCTTAGCGTCATGGTAACTATTTTGAAAAATACATCACCTTTTTTCCCTAATCGGTTTACATAAAGGTTTCGAATTCTGAATTAACTCCTAAAGAAAAAAACGGACTCTCGTCTAATATGCTGCTCAGTTTACATTTGAAAATATACGTTTTACAGTTCTATGACATGTACTTTAGTATGCATTAGAAATTAGGTGCTCCACTTTCGATATCAAGAAGAAAATATCGAAATATATTTTAAAAATTATTTTTATACGATTCATCACAAATTAAAATATTAATTAAGACACTGCGTAACCCATAAACAAGATTGGCGTTGATATACGAATTCATTTCTCAGCCAATACATTACTAACATTATTTGCCTTATTAATTTTCGCCACGCCACAAAAAAGCCTTGCGCAGTTTATCCTTTCAATAAACAAGTCTTTCCCATCCATATATTTAACTATATATGATGTATCCTTAGAAAATCTTTCAGACTTTGACATAAGTGTTCAACCCATCCCCCCCCCCAAAAAAAAGAAATATTGCATTATAGTCTGGTCTATTTGTAGCTGGGACTCATCCCTAAGTCAAATATCGCAAATAGTAGCAGCTGCCGTCTCTACGTAATCTCATCACAATCGACATTTTCTCTGAAAGGATCACTTACTATATCTCTTTCTGTTGATGGTGCTTTAGGTACATCCCCGTTGGGAGGTACCCAAAGCTTTTTCATTTCGTTTGGGGATCAATTTTTTTATGTATGTATTTCTTGTTAAGTTTTATTTTTTGAGAACAACATCTTGCAAAAGCGGAAATGGAGTTTTGTTTGTTGCATCTATTTTTAGAGGGTGAAAAATGGTTGTAGCAATTTTACACCCATGTTTGTATTTTGTAAAGGGAATTATGGTTTTTGCATGCCCTTATTGAGAAGTTACAGTATAAATTCATTTTACAGGAGTGGTATATGTTTCTATATCTACGGAACAATTTCACTTAAGTAACATGTCCTCTTTTATGTGGTGGAATTTATCTCGAATGTCGAAATATGGCCAAAGGTCACTACTATAAATGTTTACATATTTTTTCATGAGTGTATTTAAAAACCATATGATCTGTTTTAGATTTAACAAATATTTTAACATATAGTTATGAATAGAACGAAATATATATTCCTACCTTTTTGACAGTCCTCATTTCTAATGAAAAGCAAGAACAAACTAAATGTGACCATTGAATGTAGTTATTTCTTAAACATTTCTTTTGAAGGTATTTGAAGTGTAGAAATCTGAAAATAAAGAGTGATTTAAGTTGCATTATTAATATTGATTAATCAAAAATTTTAAGCAAATACATAATTAAATTTTATTAATATATTATTCGTTATTGAATAATATGTTTAAAAGCTTTTGACAATGTACTTTCATATCATGTACAAAATTTACATCGAATTTTTTATTTTTTAAAAAGAACAAAACCTATCTCTAAACGATGAATATAATACACAGCTACAAATATACTATTACTTTATTTAGTATTCCATTTTTGGTATTCACTTAATGTAGTGATTTTGCCATATGTATATACGTATTTTTATATTAATTGAAATTGTTGAATAAAGAGTAACGAAAATAAAAATTATGTTGGTGGACCTAAGTAGGAATTGACATTAATTTTTTTCTTCTTATTACTTGTTTTCCTTTATAACGAAGGACATTTCATTATTTTAGAAACATATTCATTATTGTGAAAAGTATTGCTTCATTCTAATTATTACATCAACGTCATCACTCACGGTTTCCTTCATCTGTGCTACATTAAAAAATTATTTGGCTGTTGCTAAAAAAATATACAAATAAACTTTAAAAGAATGTGACAAGTTACATTTAAACGAAATGTTAAATATTTTATTCAATTCTACAACAACATTTTCTTTTTTAAAGGATATAGAAAAAAATCAAAGTTGTTTAGAAATTTCAATTTTTATTGCATTTTTTAAAACATCCCCAATTATTTCCGCTTCACTGAATTTGGAAGTAAAATTGTAAAGTATTTCAGAAGTAGATAAAATACTTCTGTTCGAAAAATAGATTTTCCAACAGTGTTATACAAAATTGAATGGTTTTATACAGCAATATTTTTTTCTCGTTAACAGGGGGAAAAATGAAAATCACAGATCGAAAAACAACTGCTGTTAGTCTTCAATTTATTTAACTTCTTAACATTTTTTTTTCCGTTCAAAATTTCTAATTCAAACTAAATGCAAAACTGCATAAACATTTAAAAGGCATTTGAACAATTTTTTAATATATATATATATATATATACAATTTAGAAAATCCAATGGACAAGAAAAGCATAAGAATCCCGGCAGGTTTTTATTTAATTCTGATTTTGGTTGTCATTAATTTACTCACATCAACTTCAATAACATCACTTTTTTTCTTCAAAACCAGTTTATGAGATCAAAAGAATAAAAAGGAAAACCAGTGTCAAGAAATAAATGTTTTTTATCCAGTTCTCCCAAAAAAGCCGATTAGTACTCTCCGATCCTTTTTTCCCACGACTTCTTTTCATTCTTTTGAAGGAGTGTTTCCTTATCATTACTAACAACTTTTTTTCTGAGTTATCCACTACATACTTACTTTTATTTAACTAAACATTTTCTTCTTAGTTATGCAGTTAATGGACCAGAAATAATAACAAAACGGTATCCTGAAATAGTTTGCGAAAGTCTGAAAAAAAATTTCGAATAGTGCTCGTGGGTCTTTTATCGTATTTCGAAATATTTTTCAATGGTTTTCGAAATCAGTACAAGTTGCTGAAGAAATGAAACAATTTATGTTTTTGAATAGAACGAAAAATAGAAATAGTGTTTTATTTTTGTATATTTATGGTTTTCTTTTTATCGTAGGAAATATATAATTGAGAGTGAAGTTGTATTTTTAAAAATAGGGAAAACTTTTAGTGTGCATACACACGCACTAATACATTAAGTATTTTCTTAAATGTGAAATGAAATTTACTTTATTTTGGTTTATAGGGAAACATATACACTACTTTTTTATTAATTTGTTTTACATTGATTTAAATTTCAACAAATTGACTTTGGTTTTTTAAAATTTATGACTTACACCAAATTAGCTGATGTCTGATTCTACAGAAATATGGGAGAGGAGGGGATTTATATTTATACATATAAATTTAAGAGTATTGAATTTTTTAAACTCTATTTTCCCTTGTAATTTTATTTCAGTCAACAGATATAGTCAGTTAAAGAGGAAGAACAGTGCATTGGTACTAAATTTAACATGTATACATTAGACGTAATTCTGAGAGAACATTATTATATTACTTTTGCTTGTATACTTTGTTCTACGATGTCTTGGTATGTATGTGTCTACTGTTGGGCAAATGATTCAGCATATTAAATGCATCTGTACATATTAAACACAATGAAATCTAGAACTGTATCTAAAAATGATTATTAACTGTAATTGACAGTTTTTTTTCAATTTCTACTATTTTTTCCCTCTCTCCCTGTATATATTTATACACTTATTTATTTATATATATTTTTCAAATTTTCAATCGTTAATAAAAAATACTTTTTATTAATCCACTCAAGTTCAAATACATTTTTTAAACTTGTAGCGGATGACACTTGATGTTAATACAGTTTTTTCAAATATTAATTCATGAATTAAATTAATAAATGAATACACAATAAGAAACAAAAATAATCGCCCAACAGCATATATAGAACGGAAAACTGTTCGTTGTATCCCTGTAGCGCAATTGATAGCGTGTTGGAATACTAATCCAAAGGCCGTGGGTTTGAATACCACCTGAGATGGCCCAATTTCTAAGAATGTGATTTCTTTTATACTATAATATTTTATAAGAATAATTAAATTTAATTAATGAATCAATATTAACAAACGAAAAAGTAGTCCAACACCATATGCAGAAAGGAAAATGGAAAATTGCAAGTAAAATCACTTTCTATTTTGTCACAATATTGTGATTTTGTCATATGTATATACATATTTATATTAACTATAACTATTTAATAAAAAATAACTAAAATAAAAATTTTCTTTGGTGGTCTAAGAAGAAACTGACTTAATGTTTTTTTTATATACTACTTGTTTTCCGATATTAAAATCAATGAAATAGAAATTAATTAATTGATTATCAAATCGATTATTATCAATTTATCAAATTAAAATCGATTTATATAAATTTTGCTAGTATACAAATATTTCATTATTATTAAATGAGTTAATTGTAATCAAGATGTTTATCTCTAAGGAAATACAATTAAAACGTAATGTTAAAAAACCAACTGACTACAATTAAAGCTACGTACATAAAATTAAGGAAACCGAGAATTGAGGGACATGTCATAATTAAGAAATTATTAATATATTTTTTGCTTGACATTCTATTTTGAAACTTGATTATTTTTAACTTGAAGAAGTCATAATTTTAGGGGTCATACTGTCTAATATTTTTTAGGAAGGGCGATGTTTGCAGTAAAACTTAATCCATAGTTCTCCAGAAATATCACTGGCGGGGTATCTAAAGGTTTAGTTTCCTGTGTTTTTAGAAATTCGTATAGGTTCACTAGATTAAGTGCTGTGTGTAAAATTATTGATTTTGATTAGAGTATTTATTTTAATTTAATAAAATATTATGTTCAATTTTATGCTATTTTTCATTGGGATACTTATTTTCATTTGAAAAGAGTTACACGTTTTTGTGCTTTGTTACAATCTTACAAATTTAAATACATTTTCACACAATTACAATAAAGTTTTCAATATAATTCTAAGACAAGTGAGTTATCAATCACAATTAAAATAATCAGAAGATGTAAAATTTGACATTATTTCAAAATTTTACTGTTTACTAATGGCAATATCACCAGTCTATTACAGAATATTAACCGTTTGAATGCGGAGACACGCAAACGCGCTGCTGTTGGTTAGTATGATATTCACATCAACTGAGAGCAGTTGTATTCATATCAATTGCAGTTTTTATTAATTTGATTAATTTGGGATTTTTTAATGATAAGAATTAAAATAAAATGCAGGGCTAATCAGTAATGCAGTAGATCCTAGGATATGGTAGAAAAATTAACCAATGTGAGAAGATAGATAACATTATGACTTTAAATTTTCTTTTTTAAATTGTTATCAGATTTATAAAAACAAAATATAATTTTTACAAAAAAAAAATATGTACTAAAAATTATACTAAAATAATTGGCTGACCTTTTTGACCATACCAACATTCAGGGCTCTAGTACATTATTGCTTATTATTATTTGCAGTGAAAAAAAAGGAGGTTGACATTTTTTTATTATAAGAATTAGAAATTTGATTTCATTTTTTAAACAAGTGTTATACTGATAATTACAAGAGGCACAATGTCAAGTTGTGATGTATCTGAAAGCGACTATGATACTAGAAGTAATAATTTATTATTTTACGTAAATTACGTATTGTTTATCAATTTTATTACACCCCCCCCCAAATTAGCTCGCATTTCATTCCACTCTTTTAACACACACATATATATATATATATTACCATTAAAGTCTGAAATTCAGTTATTTCATAGAATGACTAGGTATTTCATGAAATAACTAGATAAGTCAGTTAAAGTATATAATAGATGAAAGATTTCATACTAGACCCAGTTATTTACATACTCACCTAGTTATTCTATGACATAACTAATGATAGACCGTTAAAGTGAAAAATAAACAATTTCAAAATTATTTTATAAATTAATTGATCATAAATAGCTAAAATATCTCAAAAACACATTTTATCCCAATTATGGATGATTAATTTATAAATAATAAGGAAAAACAAATGATATTATTTATTACTGCTCATATTGTTAATCAGTTAACTTTCCTACTCCTTGAACTTCTAGGATATGATAATTCTGGAAAGGTCAATACTCATATGGTATTTTTTTGTGCTGTTTTTGCACTCTTTACTTCTGCTATCAAAGTTAAAGGGACATGTTACGATTTAAGCAAGAAATTTTAATTTAAGGATTTTCAAAAAAATTTTTGGTCGTCTCCTTATGTGTGTATACTATGTAAAACAAATTTTGTGCTCAAGATATCATAAAAAGCTAGGCATTTAATTTTTTAAGGAAAAACTTCAAATTTGTAAACTGATTTTAAAATGCTACTCCTCCTACAAAAAATTACGTACACCCATGAAAATTGATTTACAAGTACCTCAAACTATCGATAACAAAAGTTAGTATGGGTTTTGTGATAACATGATTGGTATTTGTACAATACTTCTTTGTATGACTGCGTATTGAAAATTCCTTAAAAAATGTACAAATTCTGAGTTCAATTATTTTTTTAAAAAAATAAGTATTGCATTGATTCAAAAATGCATACCAACTTTTGTTACATGTAATATTAGCAATAGGTAAAAAAATTCAAAGCATTTGGCACAATAGAAAAAGAGCCTTAGCATTTTAAATGAAGGCAAACTAGTTATTTTATCTTTCCAAGATAAGCGAGTTTAAAATTTTGATTTGCATAGGAATGTGAATCAAAACAAACGCAAAAGCTATCCTAATTCTGTGTTTTTTTCCGTTTAAAGCTTTCAAATTTTATCAGATTATAGAAAAGTATATCAGAAATAATTTATGCTAACAAAATTAAACTTGATTTTTTGACCAATTTTTGTCAATCGAATCGTACCATGTCTCCTTAATAATTGTTAACGAGTAAGTGCAGCACTGTTTTCCTTTATCCCACGCTTATTTAATAAATCTTCAAAACTCCCCCGCGTTAAATATTTCTTTTTTATAGGCTGTTCTCCCATTCCTGTAGAAGTCATTGTTTGAAAAATGGTTGCAAACAAATAATTGTTAATAATCCATAATGTAAGACGCTAACATAAATACTCCACCCAAATTCTACGTTTAAACGCAACAGAGTGAAGGTTATACACAAACACATCCTTGCAAAGCATCTGTAAGTTGTTCAAAACTGACTAAAATCATCTAGAATAGTTTTAAATAACTTTCGAATGCCGTATTTGATACTTTAACAATCAGATAATCGTTATTCTATAGAATAACTAGTTAAAGCATAGAATTCAATAATACTATACACTTTAACGGACTTGTCTAGTTATTCTAAGAAATAACTAATTTCACACTTTAACGGTAACATACGTAAGGAAAGTCTTCAACGCTTAAACTTTTAATTTTAATGTGCAATTTTGCGTAAACTTAGATTAGGAAAATATTTTACCCCCTTATACTTTCAAAAATCACTCATTTTACTACTTTGCATATTATGTTTTATGCTAATTAAATTTTATAAGTTTTTATAACTCACTAGAAAAGTGATACTGAACGCAACTCTTGCAGCCATCGACTTAGTGCATATATTTTTTTCTACCTTGACTACAGAGACTAAGGTCTAAAGACATGACAAGGCAATGACTACCTGCCTGACACATCTTTTTCTTAGAGCCGTCGCAATAAATCATAATCGGTACAAAGTGGGTAATGGATATTATCCCCGCCCAATCAATCACTTTGTCTAGAGGCTGCCCAGTATCCATTAGACAAAATTCCCACCGGGTAACAATGACATCAAAGAGTTTTCTCCAAAGAATATTGCTTACTTCCCTCAACTCTTGATGCATTCAGAGGGAGGTTGCAATTGGTTCCCGTAAAAGGATAGACTTTTATACAGTGGATTTTATACAGTATTTTGGAATGTTTTTTTATACAATGGATTGTATATTTTACGTCATATTTTAAGTGATGTATTACACTAATGGATTATGAAATACACATATTGAGAGTAATAAGTAACAAGGTACATAAACCTTTTCATGCAATTATTTAGATAGTTAAGTCAAAGGGTTTGAAAATTAGATATAGGCTTTGATTTTTCGAAAAAGGTAATTCATATTCAAAAAGTTAATTATGGTTTTTAGATTCACCAGAAGAAACACATTACTTAGATTGTAGAATTTTAAAAAATAAATACGTTTAATTTACTTTAAAATTCGGTGTATAGGGCACACCGGCGTATAACGTGCACATGTACCTTAAAGCTGCATTTTTTTTTTATTTTAAGGTATATTCGCCGTGTAACGTGCACTTCTATTTTTTCCAGAAACTAAGATGGAAGTGTGTAATGATCTTACGTTTTGAAGTCATTTATTCGAGGTATTTTCCAAAGATTTTGAAGAAATAGTATACTTCTAGAACTACAACCCTTTCAATTCATTAAGAATGTTACTTCCTTTAAATAAACAGTATTTCGATCTATGTATAATCCATTTTTTATGATAATCTGTTTCAATTTTTAAAACTATCACTTTATACGCGGCGTACAACGCGCACCTAAAAATTGATTCTATTTTTTGCGTTAAAAGTGCGTATAATACGCCGCATTTTACGGTAATTTATTTATTTCCTACTTATTAAAATTCTAATAATTCCATGGTTAATTTTAAATCCTTCACATAATGATTTCATCTCTTTTTTATTAAGTTTTTTGTAAGTAAAATATACCTACTTATTTTTATATTTCTTTTAAGTGAATGTAGGATGATTTATAAGAAAATCACTCTCAAAGAATTTATTTAATATATTTGTTGGTTGTCCCCTATGTATATGGATAATGTAAAACAGATCTTATGCTCAGAATAGCACCAGAAGCTAACCATCTACTTTCTCAAAAAATTAAAAAATTCATTAAGTGGGATCTCGAAATGTTATTGCTCCTACAATAATTGACGTACACATATGAAATTGTATTTATACATGTACGTCGAACTTTGA